AACATGGGAAGTTTCCTGTTCTTTTCCAAGAACGGATAATTAACAAATCTCATTTGAAAGATATCAGGATACTTTATTTCTTATACAGTGTTCTAGAGAAGTTTTCAATTCTGCTCAAAAGCACTACCCAGACAGGCTTTTTTTAGGCTGAAGCCTCCAAAGTTTTGTCTGAAGAATTTCTTTTGTTATTCAAGGCAATGAACTTTTACCTCTCTCTCTGGCCATACACCAGCAGCAGAAGTCTGCTCCCTCAATGCCTGCCTAGAAGTCTCCAGGAACCTTTATCTCATGCTGGGCTTTCACGAGACACCAGAGAATCAGCTCTACTGATATCATCAAGGAGTTCAACATACAGTAGACTTCATAGGGATTTCATCAATGGAACCAGCAGAGAGTTAAGAAACCTCTTCAAAAGCTCATTCCCTATTCCTTAATCCACTTGTTAAATCGTTTTCCAGTGGCCGCAGAACTTGTTCTACCAAGTACACTGCAGCAGGAACTGCCTCACCACTGATCACGCAGACTACTACAGTGCGAGCCCCATCCACACAATTCAGACTCTCCCTAATGTTTACAGAAAGGGAATTCAATGTGTGGAAAGTACGTATCCACTTGTTTTTTTTTATATATATAAATGCATTTGTCTACATTTAAAATTCTGGCTGCTCTTGAACTCTGTGGTTAAGTTACCATTTCTGTGTTTTGTGAATTTGGCTTCCAAGTTTCAGTGCAACATAGCCTTAAGTTAAGAATGCTACACCCTCCATTGTATAAAAACAGTGGAACAAAGCCAGTAGTTGTAAGAACTTGGAATAATTCTTAATTCCCTCTTAAAAACAAGGAAACAGAAACCCTTTAAGTTCATTTCTGAGGCATCTTCAGAGAGTACATACATGTGTGCGTAAGGAATAGATAGCTTCAACAGTCCTTAGCAAACAATTCAGCATAGTTGTAGAATTTAGAAAACAAGTGTAAGCCCGCTAAATCCACTTTTCCTCTTCTGGAAGATAACACTTCCAAATTACTTTGAGGTCTAGCTTTTTAAAGGCAACTATTGGAAAGTAATTGTTTAATTCAGACATGTTCAGAAGCTTTCTGTATACTTAGTCTTTCATTTGCGCATGAAATTGTGGCAGTTCTTTCTCCTCTCAAAGGTAAATTGTAATAATGTCACAGGCTACCGCAACCAAAAGGAATTTCTTACATGAAGAGAGGGACTTCGTATAGAAAATAAAACATCACACAGAAAAAATACAAGAAGAAAGTATATGATACTTTGTGCAGTGGTTTAATTACACAGCTGCAAGATTAGAGAGCTGTAATATAATCCTTGAATCCACGATAGAAACGGTTCTCCTTGAAGCCGTAAGTGGATAGAACACAGACAAGTTGCAGAGCGGGGTCAAGAATACACATACACACTCTCGCAAGTGAGCATAAAGTCACCAGTCCAGCCCTACAAGCACCCTACTTCAGTTAGCTCTCTGATAGTTCTTCATTGTTTCCCAAGCCTTTAATGATGGACAGAGAACACCACACTGATGATAACAAAGCTGTCTGATGCATCTGTGATTTGTATATGAAATCCTTCTATGATGGAGAACCATCAAGTAACTTCCCAGCATGGTCTACACTGAACAGTTTAAATATCCACAGGAAGAAAATCATTAGTTAATAGGCTGTTCATCTCACAGTGTCTAAGAGTTTTTTTCTGAATCACTCATTTCTAAACTATTTTATTCTGCCAAAACTTACACAAAATTAACCGAGCACTATACGCACAGTCTTTCAACTTAACAGCTACTCCTCCCAGGGCATTAGAGGCCTTTACTGTCCATTGAGTGGCCTGCTAGTATTTCGCATACCTACACATGACATTACAATGTTATTATCAAACCGATTTGTTGTAAATTCAGCTACAGTCATACCTTTCCACCGTCACTGAGTAGGAGGACTTTCACCCACATATCCTTTGCATCTATCTCCAACACCTGCAATAGTTAACTGAGAGCCCAGAAACATGGATCAGCAGCACAGAATAGCTTTCAGCACACTAACCATGTTTATCAATAACTTATTTAATTCACCACCATAAAAAAAAAAAAAATCAATTAATCCTTCATTTTTTTTGTCCTTTAGAATCTTCTTTTCCTCAGGAAGAGGAAAATTCTTCTTTCCTGACTAAATCTAACAACTGTAACAGTGGTAGATCTTGTGTATTTACCAATACCGCCTTTTCCAGATCACTCTCAGATTTAACACAAGTCTTGATGAAATAGATCAAGGAAAGCAGGAAAAGCTTAACTTCCATTTTCAGTTTTTACTTTAGTATCATAACAAGGATTTGATTCATGACAACAATTTCACAGTACCTCCCATGAGGGATATTTCAAAACTCAAGCACTTTAGCAGTCCCGACAACTGCATTAATCAGAACAATTGCATTCATCAGTTCTTATTTATGTGACATCTTTATGTGAAATTCAAAGAATTTCAGAAGATTTGAGTAAAATCTTCCATTATAGTTACCAGTGTGAGTATCCATAACTTTATATCCTATCCTACAGCATATTTTATACCATTATTTCCAATCGATAATTCAATCTATCACAGTAACTTACTAATCTAACATTTCTACGTTACACTATTGTGTAATATTTGCTGCTTTCTACTGCTCATAAACAATATATTGTCTAAGAAACATAGAATACCATGGTTTTGGTTGGGATATAGTTAATTTTCTTCATAAAGGCTGACAGGGTCCTGTGCTTTTGATTTTTCTTTTTTAAATGAAAATAGTACTGATAACAGACTGGTGCTTTAGTTGTTGCTGAGCAGCGCTGCACAGAGCTGAGGACATTTCAGCTCCTGGTGCTGTCCTGCCAGGAGGGGTTGAAGGAAAACAGGGAGCTGTGAGGGGGCAGAACCAGGACTGCCGGCCCAGACCAAGCAGAGGATTGGCACATACCATATGGTATCCTGCTCAGCAAAAAAAAAAAACAACTGGGAGACAAGAGGAGGAAGAGGGAACGACATTCCAAGAGATGATGTTTGTCTTCCCAAGAAACCGTTACATGTGATGACTTCTGCTTTCCTGGAAGTGACTGAACATCTGTCTGCCAATGGGAAGCAGCAAAGGAATTTCTTGTTCTGCCTGCGCATGCAGATTTTGCTTTACCTACTAAGCCATCTTAACTACAAACGAGTTCTCACTCTTTCACGTTTCTGATTTTCTCCCTCACCTAACATGCAGAGAATAAGTGAGTGGCTGCATGGTGCTGCATGTAATGCCTGCTGCATTACACCACGATACACAAGCATTTCGTTTCTAAGAGACCTGCTCAAAGCAAAAGTCAGCCATGAATTCAGACAAGCTTTCCCAGGACACCATCCAGCTGGACCTTCAAAACATAAGAAGACAGAGATCTCACTGCCTCCTTTCACTTCTTTAATTCAAATTGGCACCTCCCCTGTTTCAGATTGTGCTTTCACATAAAAGGAAATACAGGCTCCATTTTATCAATCTCCTCTTAGGTGCAGAAAGGCTTCTTTTTAGGTCTCTGCACACCCCTCCTCAGATGACATTCTCCACTCCTCCCCCCAGTTTCAGAGCTAGCTATTTTGCCACAGACAACAGTCCAGTTGACCAGGCATGACTGATTCTTGGTAGATCCCAAGCTGGTTATCCCCAGCCAACACCTGCTCCTCCCCATACTGCAGTGGCTTCCTTCATAACCTTTCCATGGATTGAAGGAGGGAAGCTGACCAGCCTGCACTTCCCTGGATCGTCCTGCTTGCTCCTTTTTGAGAAGGGACATATGATCTGCCTTTTTCTAGTCCCTGGTGATTTTTCTCAGCCTCGTGACTTCTTGTAGAGAAAAGCAAGTGGCTTCACAATGATACCACCAGAACACAGGTCATCCAGGCCCATGGATTACCAGGCAACCAACCCATGCTTCAGTCCTCTTTTGCAACTTATCCTTGTTGCGGAAACAGAGGCCTCACTGATGAGCCCTGAGGCAAAACAGATTGTCTTAGATCCAATGGGAACAGTTGGTTTCCTTCACAGTACCTGATACAATGCTATATTTTGGTTTTAAGAGAAAAACAATGTCGATAACACACTGATGTCTCTATCTGTTGCTGAGTAGTGCTGTACAATGCAGTGTTTCAGTTTTCTCAGCTGCTTACACTGTCCTGCCAGTGAGGAGGCACACAGAGTTGGAAGTGTACAGAACCACTTTTTTCTGGTTCTCATCCCCATCCCACTGGGAAGAGAAGGAACACATCAGTGGCTGTGCAGTGCTGCTGAGTTAAACCACAACACACACTGAGTATCTGCCCTTACTCATGCTCACTGACATTATAGCACTTGCCCCACTCAGCAGCTGCTCCACATTTAATTTGCGCATTCTGCTCCTGATAATCCAGCAGAAGCATCCCGCTGCCGTTGCCGTTTACTCCTCGTTTTCAATCTAGCTCGCCTTTGATTTTGCTACCACGACCCTCACGTGCCTGGGCAACGTTTACATATCCCCCTTTGCAGCCCGTCGCCACTCACACACACCGCCTACCTCCTCCGCGTACCACCTCGAGCTGCCCGTTTAACTGAGGCCTTCTCCTGCAGTACCACCTCAAATCTACTCACACCGGGCCACCCTCCGGCACCCACCGGGCGGGGCCGGGCGGGCTCACCGAGCTCAGCCACACGCGTTACCGCCGGCCCCGCTTAGGGAGCACGGACGGCCGCTTCCAGCTCCGCCATAGAAGCGCCCACGGGGAGCTCAACGCCCGCCCGCAGGGCCGGAGACGACACCGCAAAGCCCCGAAGTTTCCGCCGCGCTCTCACCTGAAGAGATACGGCAGCCGCCGCCGCCGCTCAGAGCCCTCAGCCGGTACCCAGCGGCCGTTCCGGCTCGCTCCGCGGGCGGGAAGGCGGAGCGCTGCGCGAGTGAGGCGGAGCTGGGCGGGACGCGCATGGGCACACTGTGAGAGGCGGAGCCGGGGCGGAAGCGACGGGGACGTATCGTGCGCGGGGCCGGGTAAGCGGCGGGGAGCGGCTGAGGGAGAGGCGGACCCCGGCAGAGCGCTGGCGGCGACCGGGGGCCGTTTATCGGCTCGCGCGGCGGTGGGCGGGGCGGGGCGGGAGATGCGCGAGGCAGCGCGCGGGAGCGCGCGGGCACGGCGGCCTTGGGAGTTGGCGCCTCGCTGCTGCTTCCCCGCACGGGCTCTCCTCCTGCCGGTCGCCCCGTTCCTGAAGCGCATGCTTGAGCGCGGAGACCCGCGCTGGTGGCGGGAACGCACAATTCTTTGGATACGCTGAAGGATGGCTGGCCCTAAGCTCCCGCAACGCGTTGATAGTCCGGCTGGAAACATAGCTCAGCTTTCCGCAGTTGTCTCCCTTACAGCATAAATATTAACGTCGTGCAAAGTTAAATATTTCCTGGGGGCACCTGTCTTTTTAAATGACTTGTGATGAGCAGCGTATCTCAGATGATGAGTAAGATGTTAGCCAAGCTGATTGTAACACCGAAGGCAAATTCGTGTTATTTATCTTCAAGCTATGTTGCAAAACCTGTGATATATTCATTATTTATGTTCAGCTGGTTTCTGCCTTCCCTTCTTTTAATCGTGGCTACTATTAAAAAGGCCAGTATAGGATAGAAACCCATCTCACAGAATGCAGGCTAATCAGAGAAGGACAAATGCCAGGGAAAAAAAAATAATTATGATTAAATGGGTGAACAATGTTATGTCTCAAGGGTTTTGTTAGTTCCATTCTTTATTTTATTATCACAGAACAGCGGGGGTTGGAGGAGATGTCAAAAGATCATCAAATCCAACGCCCTGATAAGCAGGTTCCCTACAATAAACTGCACAGATTGGTGTCCAGATGGATCTTGAATATCTCCGTAGAAGGAGACAAGCTGTCAGGAGGAAATCTCTAAAGCAAAACGTGGGAGAGAAGTGGGATGTGGCAGGGCGAGAGCCTACAGTTCTCTGAAGTGAAAGAAAAAGGCCTTGAGTATATTCTCCCAAGAAATAATTTAAGGGAACGAAAGTCATCTGTAGACAGGTCCCAGATAGATTTATTTTGCTTTACGTCCTGTGAGAGACTAATATGAATACCGTTGGGCCAAATCTTATTCCACTGACTGGATTTCAGAAGCAGGTGGTGTGTGTGTCATTGTTCATTGCCTGAAAGTGGGGAAGATAAGTGTTTGGAGTGGTCAGTGAGTGATTGATTTTTATGTATTTATTTATTTATTTTGTGATACGGAGCTTTGTGATGTCTAGTAAGACCGAGAGAAATTTCTCAATTAGTCTAAATCTTCTAATTTCAAAGATGAATAAAAAAATATTTCTGTTTTAGCAAGCGAGGCGTGTTTTTTTGGCAGCTGCATAGGCTGTGTGACAGTTCAGAAATTATGCTGCCTGTTTAATTGCTTTGTGAGAAATAAAAGAACTTTCAGTATTAATTTTTGAAGTTTGTAGGAAGTAATACTTGCATTTAGAAGTCAGAAAATGGTGATAGATGACTTGCAAAATATTTCTGCACCAATTGAGCTCAGACCATTTTATTATCCACAGTGTAATAAAAAGCTCCTAAAAGATTAATATTTCTTCTGTGTTTACCCCATGCATTGCAAGCTCTGTTGTTGCAATGAAACTGAGTCTAGACTTGACTTATTCAGATTTTATTTGGCTTTTGAAATTACATGTCTGTGAACAAAGTTAACTTCATTGCTACTTTTTGGCCATCTGAAATCTCTTATGGGAAAAAATAGATGTAGTGTAGCTGGGGCAAAAGCAGGAAGTTAGGGCTTTAGGGAACAGACAGATGGTGGAAGAGGGTGGCTATTGTCGTTTATACTTAGGACAGATCTGGAAAAGTGGAAGGAAAAAAAATCAGGCTGATATAATGTTTGTGAGTCCAGCTGCAAGTTTGGGAATAGAGTAAGTGATAAAATGCCCATGGTACACTGCAGACTACACAGGAAAAAAAATCCTGGCATTTCTTTCTGGAGACAGCTCGTCTTCTAAGTTAGAAAAAGAAACACAGTAGTATGACAAAATAATTTGAGTGATGCTCTCTGTTTAATAGTATGAATGAAATGTCTGTGGCTCTTCTGTACTTTTAAGTTGGTGAATAGGTAGGATTTGACTGTGATGATGATAGAATCAGAACAAAGTATTCATTAGATCGGTGAGGCTCACTTTACATGCTGTTTCCATCTATTTCAGGAAACCTCGTGCTGAAACAGAATAGAAAGTTGCCAAAGGTAGCACTTATTGCTGTTGCTTCCTTATTTCTCATCTTCACACCTCTTCCAGGTGCAGACTTAGAAGAGTTTGAGTCAGTGCAAGCTGTGCATAATCATTATACATTCCTATCTTGTTTTGAGAGGGAGTACTCTCTCTCCCTAGATAAGTAGAATACTCAGTGCTTCAGCACTGTAATGTTCAAAAGCCACTACTTTCAAGTGGGCAAAATGGAGTGAAGAGTTAAATGTGAGTGTTAGAAGTAGAGAGAAGAGCAAATCTGAACAAAGTGACAAGTAAATCTTAACCCACATAACATCCATGGGTAAAGCTGTAAAAAAAAAAGATGTTCAGTTTAAAGTGTCTGTTAGGAATTTAGATGCAAGTTCCTTAGTGACTATAAAGGAGACAGTCTCGATACAAGTATATAACATTATGGATTAAGGTAAGTGGGCTACATGCATATTCCCCTTCTCTGACATTGTCACAAGGCTGTCAAGAGACTGGAGTATGCATTTATCCTGCTTCAGGGAGATTCAGCAGTGTTGGCATACGTGCTTTGTGTGGCTTCTGGATGCAACAGTTTTGTAGCTGAGGATAAGAATGGTTGAATTTGTCTGGCCAAATTTCCAGCTAAATTTTGAACTCTGAGGAGACAGATGGATTAATGGGATGGTGCCAGCTGTGGCATATACAGGGTTGAGTACAGAGCAGACCAATAACCAACAAGTCATTATTTCCAATCAGTTGCTGTCCCTGGGACAGACTGACAGTTGCTATCTATTACTCATCGCTACTGGGAAGAAGTCATTTTGTTCAGTGGATTGGAGTAAGATTCACACTGACACTGTTAACCCATTCATCCACCAGTTTTTAAAGCGGAACATCTTTAATCAGTAGGCTGATCAGTTGTACCTCTACTTTTGCATCTTTCTAGAAGTTCTGTAGGAAAGGATTTGAGATTAAGCGGTTATATATATGGATGAAACAGATAAGACTAACTCTTCTCTCATCTTCTCCTCAATTACTTTCACTAAACTGTTTCCTCCACAGTTGTAGTTACGGTATTGTATCCATCTTCATTTCTATGTTTATCCAAGTGAAATAGCCTTCAGGAAAGTATTTTACGTACTTTTGTGTATTTTATTATTCTTTGAGTGGAAGCTGTGTTAATTAAAGAAAAGCAAGAGGATTTTTATGGTTAGGTACTCTTGTTTTGAGACAGCCACGTAACAAAACAGTTGAAAAACATTTCTGTATAACAGTCATTTTGATTCTTATTTAATGCCAGGTGGGCTTGATTTTATTTTTCCACTGCCTGTCTTTGAGCAATTGCTCTGTCCCAGTGACAGATGATATAAAATAGTACATTTGAGGTATATCTCCATATATGAAATGTGAGAACTTTTTGCTGTGTATTGCTATCATGTCCCTGTAACTGTATAGAGACATTATTAGATAGTTATTTGGAAGATTTTGTCCCAGTGTCACTTGTGCTCTACGTACATGCATATAAACTATATATAAATAAGCATACTGCATATCTGAGCAGCGTTCAGAGTTCTTCTTCATATTATAATGAAGCTTTGTTCTACATGATTGTTAAAAGAGTGCCATCTAGTGCTCTATGCTTTTCAGTAGGAATTGTGATTTTTAAGTTAACATAGAATGTTATGTGGTGGTGGCACAGAAAAGCTATTGCATTATTGTTTTATATTACACTAGTATGAAATGGCTTAATAAAAAAAACAGACTTTCAACAAAGTATAAGGAAAAATAATTTAAACATTTAATATAACGACATTAATTTCAGCTACATCACTCTTGTATTTCACTTTAAAACAGTGACTCTGTGTGTGTATGTGCTTTAACAGAGAGGCAAATGTATGTATGATAAAACTGTTTTAGGTGCTCAGGAACATGGTTTTATAATATTGCATGATAAATGTATGATTATGGGTGATTTAAAAGTGAGCTTTATTGTAAAATGTCTAAACCTTCAAAGTTTAAAATAAAAACTTTTTTGATTTTCATATTTTTACTTAGTGTCGGAAATCAATTCCTTGTCAATGATGTGTATGTGAGGCGGCAGGCTATATGTGAAACATTTTCCTCTCTAAGTGCCGCATTCTACTTGCTCAGACAGGATGTCTTTAATAGTATCTTATTTTACAATCAGTTTTAGCAGATAATGGTACAACCGCTGTTTCAAACCCTCTGTTTTGTTCTCAATTCTGTATTCTTTTATGACTGTTGTGTTCTAATTTCTATTTCAGGAACTTCAGCTCAGGAGGAAGATGAAAGATAGCGTCCCTGAAGAACATTTGTATTTGGGTTTTTCTCATCAGTGTCAAGATAGTATCTTTCCTCTTCATACGTCTATTTCACTCTTCTTGCTATCCTACTGTGACTGCAAATCGTTCAAAATTTTCTTAGTGCCGACTAATGAAAATGCAAATGATCAGTTTGTGACAAAAAACCTCCTTGGAGATCTTGAGGTCCATTTAATCCCCAAATGTCAGCTTCCTACGGTCGTGCAGAGCTGCTGTTTTCCTGCTGTTGTCACGAAAGACGGCAAGTTCTGTCGAGCTGGGCTTTCTGTTGTCCTAAGACATATAATACAGAAAACATTCGAGGCAGATCCATCCAAAAAGAACGTTTTGGAACTCCTAGGCTTTAAGAAAACCTGCTTAAAAGCCTGTGCAGAAGTGAGTGCATCTCTTTCTCTTAGTTACATTAACAGGGTTTTAAATAAGAATGGAATGCCCTGTTGTAAACTCTTAATATTGATATTTACTGTATGAAGAAATGTCTGTATTTTATTATAAGGGAAAAATTGTTCTTTTTGAGGGTATAGCTTCAGCAGCACAAAAACAGTTCAAACACTGGTTCAGATATTTGCTTCATTTTGGCAATATAGTGTCAGTGGGTTAGTACTGTGTCTGTTCCAGTTTTACGTGAATTAAAAAATACCTAATATAATGATAATTTTTCACAGAATGCCACTTTCTTTAACTGAGGAAATCAAATATCTGAAGGCAGGATGTTTGCGTGTGAAGTCATCAATTGTGGCTGTTGCCACGAGATCTTCGAGCACGTCCCTAGGAACTAATCCTACATACTTTGCACATGATGAATTTTATCTGAAGAACGTGAAATCTGATGAGAAATAAGTGAGGGACACTGTTAGCTTTGTGGAGAATACAGGAATCAAGTTGTAGCCTTGCAAAGTTTGAGATAGAATTTTTGAATGTACTTACATGTTATTAGCAATATTAATATTAGGCATTTAAGAATTTGAACTAGTAAAGCACTTTCCAGAGTTTTGTCCAGGATGTGACTTTTGTCACAGCCCTACAAATGGAAACCTCTTCACAATGGTCACTGCTATATTTGCCTTCTTATGCTTACTTCACACCTTATGAATAACCGTATTTCAGATCATATCACAGCTGAATATTTCCTGTCTTCATCCCCTTTCTGATACTGATTTATGAAGGAAATTGCACGTATATAAGCTTATCTTCAATCAATCCATATAGATAATTATTTACTTGCCTTTAGATTATTCAGAACTTGAAATATATGCTCTGATAGTTAGCTACTTAAAGGTATAAAAGGTAACTTGGTCTGCCAGGAAACCAGTAAAAATGAATTCCTGTGTAGCGGAGGTCCTTAACTGAAGACCAAACGAAGCTTTACTGGAACAATTTGGGCACTGTAAATGGTCGTCCAAAGAAATGAAATTATCCCTGGAAGATGTTTCTTGGTAAAATAATGTAATGTATTTTTATTAACTAATTCAGAACGATGGTAATTATAGCTTCTGCACTGTGCACCTTTGTCAATACTGAGTGTTTCCTCAGAGAATAAGGGAAATTGGATTTAAATGCATGATGTTTGGGAAAAGCTAGGAAAAGCAAACTAAAGCAAAAAAGCAAACTAAAGATTTTGACAACTGTTATTTAAAAATAAATAAAAAGGTTTTCGAATATTGAGTTTAATGTACAGAACTGGCATGCTGTGCTGACTGTATCTGTGAATTCAGTAGCATTCTTGGGGAAGACATGGTACAAGATTGATTTGATATCGTAGCCTAAATAATAGAGAAGAAGAATAACATGAAAAAAATTGTTCAAAGTTACTGCTTGGTTACACTAAAGTTTCTTAACGTTGCATGCTAAGAAAAAAAATAAGAGAACTAATCCAAAGCATTTCTGTACTCACACTTCTCATGAGTTACACAGCCAGCCTCATCTTATGCTAAGAAAGGGAAGTAAAAACGTACTGTATTGGATAACACTTCATCCTTGTTATATATATATAAAACATTTTGCTTCTTAACTCTGCTATCACAGAAGTAATACAGAATATTTGGGCTCCTAAAATTATCAAAGGATGTATTTGAAGCCAAAGTTGCTAACTTTGGCTGAAGTTTCCTTGTTTAAAGTAGACAAAAAGGTAGCTTGGATTTTGTTTCTTATTGTACTTATTAGATAAATTTATTTGACAGGTTAGCCAGTGGACCAGACTCTGTGAGATCAGCATACCTCTGGCTGTTGAAGGATTTTTGACGGCATCTCCTGAGCACAGTCAGACTATTCCTGCTGACATTTTACAGCTCGAAAGAAAACTTGCAGAGCCTGTCCGGGTGCATAACGATGACAAAATTCGAAGGCAAAAGCTTCAACAACAGAAGGCAGGTGCTAAGGCTGCAGTGTCTCTGCTTGAGAAAGAAGCAACAGAAGAAGGGAAAACAGTGGAGGTGCATGAACATCCACTTCCAAGTTTGGAACTGAGTGTAGCTTTCTCTAAGCTACATGTCCAAGAGGTGTCACGTGCAGTCAACAGAGAAGCCCCTCTCATCAGGAGAACAAAAACATCTGACCTTCCACCTTTAGACCACGTTTTTGCAGAGGGGCTTTATTTTACCTTGGCAGATATTGTGCTTTTACCATGCATCCATCAGTTCCTGGTAAGACATCAAATTCTGCAAGTATTAAGCAGTGTAGATGGGCTTTTGTAAGAGCTGGAAAATCGTGAAATGTGTTCATTTAAAATATGTTGCAGCATTTGCAATGTGAGCATAACCCGAAACAGACAACTTGCCTTTGTTTTTATTTTTGTACAATAAAAGGTGGGGCTTGGTGAGATCAACAACATTCATTTCAAATAGTACTTAGTAAACATTCTTGACTACTCACATACAATACTGAAATACTTTGGCCAGAGAATTCCTGCATGAGAATATTTAAAACGGATGCTTGTAGTACATTACAATGTGCATAAAACAAAAGTAGGTAAATATGAACCTATTTCAGTTTTGGATACAGTGCACTGGGAGAGCATTAGACAAAACGTGTTATTTGGCATTTTGTTGTTCTATTACTGTATCAGTATGGTCTGGATTGAAATTCTATCCATCTAAGGCTTGAAACTTTGTTACTTTGTCACTTTGTCTTGACATAGAATGCTCTTTAGGGAGAAGATGAGAAGAAAGGTTTAGAGACTGTAGTGGCTTTTCAGAGACGTAAACACTGGAGTTTCCATGCTGTATCAGAGCTAAAGAGCTACTTGAGTATTGTTTTTTAAAAAATTATTTATGTGACTGGCATACAGTTTCTTGAGTTTTTTTTTTTTTTATAGAGGATTTTTTTGTTGTTGTTATTTACAAATATTTCCCTCTAAAATACAGTGTAGGAGGATTTCTGATTTGCTCTGCATAGTATGTTAATATTCTTAGTCTCTGCTCTTGTTTTCCTCTGGTTCTAGAAATGATTCCTTCACTGGGGACAAAACATTCCTGTGTAGACAACCCTGTTTTATTCTGTCTCAAATGGATGTTTTTATTACCAAGCCCTCACTTGAAGTAAGCCAGTTTCTTTGCACGAGTAGATAAAAGATGGATGTGTAGACAGCAGCATACCTTCATATCAGCAAACTTTTTATTTGTTTGTGCAGTATTGTGGTGGTTTTGTTAGGTCATTTTATAATAAACTTTGTGTTCTCCTCCAAGCAAGGTCTGATCACTGTGACCAAGCTCAGAAGGGAGGGGCTACATCTAGGGAGCCAGCTTCTTTGGCTTGTGCTCCAGCCCCTCAAACCTCAGTAATCTCTAGTTTTGTCATTCATAGTATTTTTGCTGCTAAACAGTTTTCCACAGCTTGTGGAAGGTCCTTTGTTTGTTACAGCATAAGAAGAATTTCCCTGGAAAACATTACATTGCATAAGGTCTTGGAGTGGAGTTGTTAAATAGCAAAAATTAAATACATTTTATTCCAGGTCTATTTCTGAATTTGTAAGATATCATCATATTGCTTTTTTAATATGAATTTTTTTTTGCTTTGTAATTTTTAAATACTGAGTTTTCAGAAGTTGTTGACTTGCATATAGCACACAAACTTGGTAAAGGCAGCTCCTGGCAGTAGGTACATAGAGAATATTTTCAGTTTCACAGCACGTTTCCGCTGCACTATAGAGAACTATGAGAACTTTAAAAAAATTGAAAATACAGTAAGGTAAGGGCCTTCATATAACCTTTTATAACTTATTGGAACACAGGCAGGAGTTACTTTGGTTCATCAGAAGCATTGCTTTTAAAAAACCTAGATGGCCTCCCTATAAAAATATGATTTGAGTATATGTGTATTTTTTGTGTATATACATAATGCTCATATTTAGGATTGTTTGTTTTGCATTCAAGATTTCAGTTTTTATTTTCTTTCTTTGCTTTAAGTCCAGCATGCATTGCTAATTACTAGGTCTTATAATTCATTAATTAAAATGAATTATTCTCATATTAGGAAATAATAAATAATGAACAGTATTATTTATGTTTTTGTGGCACTGACTAATGTTATGGTTAAAGTTGTTCACATAAATATTTTCATCACATGGAAATTGCAGATAGCATTTAATGGCATTTCCACCTGCAAGCAGAGCTCCTAACTAGCTAGATTTTTGCAGTAAGCAAACATTTTGAGATTTAACATGGAGCTATATTCATTGCCCACAGGTTGTCTTCTCCACATTGCTTGTGGAAAGAGGTTTACAATAGCAAGTTACCTTTCCATTTTGTTTTCCTAGGATTACAGCAAAAAGCAAGACAAAGATCTGGTAAAGTTACCTCTGATCTCCAGCTGGTATCGAAGAGTTCAGCAAGTCCCTGGAGTGAAGAGAGCAGCTGATAAATGCAACATACAGCTTCTCCAGCTTCCAGAGTTGATACCTGCTTCAGAGGATCACCTAGAAGACTTCTTTCCAGTTCCTGATAACTGTGAAAAAGAGCATGAAAACAGTCAATTTATAGGTGGTCCAAGGCCAACTATGACTAAATTAATGGTAATTTAAGGTTTTCAATCAGCTGTCTTAGTTATCTTAATTTATCTTAATTATACTTATTTTACAACAGGTGAAATTTATTAGAATCATAGAAGCAAAGTCTTTTATAGCCTTAAATGATTTAATGTATTTTGACTGTCTTCTATCTGATATGCATTGACTTAAAAGGGTTTTTAGTCTTTTTGTTTAGTTAACAATATTTGGTTGCTCAGGGATTGAGTAAGTGTACTCTGGAAGCCCTGTAAATAAGTCTTAGCAACCAAAGTAGCCTCCTGTTTTATTTGTGATATTTATATTCCTTTTCTAAAGGTATGTATATAAAAAAAAAAAAATACAAGTGATACTGTATGTTTAGCTTTAGCATTCTGTTTTTCTGTTGCTTTTTGTTGTTACTTCCATAGATCTTTGAACGTCTGAGACGCAAATGAATTTTGTTAAAGAAAACTCTTTGTTGTGTTCTATAGTTTGCTGTATTTTGTTTTACTTTATTGCGTAGAGGTTACTACCCTCTTCTAAAAAGAATGGAGGGTACTTTCTTGTGAAACTGACAAAAGTACATAGTTTGAATTCTATAAACAGGAGTCATCTCCCTGTAAGTCTCATTTGGGCTGAAAGCTATGTAGTGTGATCTGATACTCTTAAATCTGGTGGGAATTCTACTACCAGTCTCAGTGGGTAAAAGACTGGGCCCCTTTTTTTCTGTTTCATATAGGAGAGGGGTATTGAAGCAAAGTTTTCTCCTCATCCATGCCCTGACTGGACCATAGACTGGCCCAGCCTGCCAGCAGCAGTCAATCCTGGAGAAGGTAAGGGTTTTTAATGTATTCTTAGTGCATTTGTTAGCAATGCTACTTGACTGTATCATAGGAAAAGATGTCACTTTTCATGAATGAATTTCAAAGCTGTGTTAAACAGGCAAGCAGTTTTAAATCTGTTTTAAATTTCAGGCTGTTTATAAGATGTGGTGAGATGACTTCCCTCAAGTCATCAACAGTCAATGACCAAACTGAATAAAAGCTTGACCTTGTTTTTGTACTTTTTCTCTACTGTTTCTGAGTTTCCTGAGCATTTCTTCATACTTAAGGCAGTAATCTTTGACCGTGTGATGTTCCTGTAATCAGCACACGTGTCCATGTATAAACTGTGTCTTGCAGAGCAGTAGCAGCAGATTTTACTTTTATGGAAATGCACTGCATTAGCAAAGTTTGGAAGCTACATAGCAGTATTTCCTTTTGTGGCAGGTTCCCCTGCTCTGCAGTGATTGTTTTCTCTCTTGGATTGCAGAGCATTCTGCTACCGAGTGACTACAGAGTTCTGCAGAGAAAAAAGTGCATTACCACAATATTCATTGTTTTCACTGGTGTTGTGAATATCAAATACCTTTCGTACCACACATGCACACTTCAGACATCTGTGAATACAAACATATTCTTGCCTACAATGTGGAGGCTGTAAAAATAAAATTTGAAGTTCATTTCCTCTATTTTGGATCTGTGTGTTGTTTACGAAGTCCTGACAACTCTTGTGTACTGCGAGCATGTGTCCATACTAAGTCATGCTTCTTTAGACTTATTTTGGATGTACCTTTTATGTTAGAACAGCTTCATAGTCTGATGAAAAGCTTTGGGAGGGTTGTTTTCTTGAAATGCCAGTGACTGCATTCAATGATGAATGCTTATTTTTGCTTCCATCCAGTGCTCAGGTTTTTTGGCTATAAATTTTAGTTACTACTTCTGTTAACGTACCTCTTTTCTTCCATTTAGGAAAAGAAACCAAGCAAGATGCATGATGTGTAAAACAATGTGTGCATTTGGAAATTTTATTTTTTAACTGATCTCTTAGACTTGGTTTGATTGGCTGGAGTTAAAACAACCCCTGATTCTTGTGTGTATATGCTCTCCCTCTTTTTTTCTTGTTTTCTGATACAGTTAGTGATGATATCAATGTCTGAAAGAGTCTGCAGCCCAATTTTGGGGAGCGAATATTTGCTGGCTCAACAAGGGTGCCAGGAGAGGGAGACTTCACCCCCCAAATCACACCTCCCATCCTGACAGCAATTATGCTGATGCCATTCACTGACTTAGGGAAACTCCAGATGGTTGTACTTTTAGTCTGGGGCCTGTAATGTCACACAGGGCAAAAAGAAATTTCCTGATATAATTGATTTCTCTTTTCGGTTGGATACATGCATGTGGTTACCTCTGTTGTTCTATGTGGGACTGTTCTTTATTGCCTAATTCTTCTGCTAGTAAAGCCTAGTTGTTGTTTCATTAATTTAGTTATCTGTATTTTATTAGTAAGTCCTACGTGATGTGCTGAGAAAATAGTCACTGACAGAACCTGACAGAGTTTTAAACCGGGTTTGGGTAATTGAAGCTTTCAAACAGATTATTGCTGCAGTTGGTAAATACAATTCTTACTAATACTTATGGAAGACAAAATAGTGAAAGTTTCACTTAAAACTCACCTTGGCTTTTATTTACAGTTAACTCGATTAGCTGGCAAATTGTACTTTAATGTCGTAGGTGATGTGATTTCTGTGCTCTGAGATTAAATATTGTACTTCTCAGAAGTATGTGGAAATTCTCAAATTGTTCAGCCTGTCTGTAAGGCTAATTAGACCACCTTGCTGTCACAGCTGTTCGCCAATGATTGCATTTATGATGTAATCATTTAGAAAAAAAGATTAACTTCATTTAGTATTTTTATAGGGATTATTTATTGTGAATTGTTACTTCAGATAATAACATCATGATATTGGATGGATATTTTAGTTCTTACAGACTTTTACTTCAGGAAGAAATTTAAAACAAAACTTTTATGTTTTAAAATATATTGTAAATGCTGATGTCTGTTTTAATTAACTATAAAAACTTGGTCAGTACTTTTTAATTGGCTTTTTCTTTTCCTAAGCTTATTTCTCAGGTCTGTAATGAGGTCAGAAATATGTTGATATCATCTATTAAATAAAGGAGACAAAACCTCTCAGCACTTTGTCTTCCACATAGTGTAACTGACCCTCAGTCATGTCTCCTTTCTTCTCTTGTGGGTTCAAATAAGTTAAGTAAGAAATATTTTAAAAAATATATTTATTTATTTGTGATACTACGTTCTGAAACAAAGCTAGACTGGCAGTGTACTTGTGATGGTATTCACTTAAAAAGGTGGTGGTTGTCTGCAAACAAATTTAGACTATTCTTTCCGGGGCATGAAGATGCTCAGAGTATGAGCACAGCATGTATCAAACTGCAGTCGGTAGGCTCGTAGTAATGCTCTCTTTTCTTGTAAAAGCGTTTCCCGAATTTGCATTCAAATGTTCAGACTTTTAAGGAGATAAACAGAGTTTTAGAATGCTTTACTCAGTTTGTAAAACGAGACTGAATTTGAAGAGGTCAGCGCCCAATATTCAGACTGTCTCTGAAATGGTTATTGAGAAGAGATATGTTACTTTGATATGTAAGGCACAAAATAATTGATAACACGCTGTGAATGTGGTTTTGGGAGGGGAAAAAAAAAAACAAAAAAAAACAAAATAGAACTTGTGAAAAACATGCAAATCATATATTGAAGATTGCCTTTGTTGTCTTTTTTACACAAATAATTTATGTCACCTAAGAATCTGATCCCGTGCTCTTTCTTTGAGAGGTCTGCTTTTAGTAACAGGTATATTTCAATAGTTGTATGAATATAAATCTTAGTGTAAGTGCCAAACTTGGTTATTTATGTACATATAGAGTACAGAATGTCCATATGAGAAATAGAAGCTTTTCTGAATCACAGAAAAAATAGTGACAAGAGAAGGAAACTGCTCTTATAGTGTTACTTTTCTTTGTCTGATAGTGTAGTAGCAATCACTTTTTTTTTTCCCAGAAGAAAATGTTAGTCCAATTTTTTTTTTTTTAAGGGGTCAGGATTTTGTTCTTCTGTAGCAAAAACATAAATGAAGTGGTTTGAATGTAATTTCTGATAACCAGTTATCTCAAACCATTTGAGAATGTCAAGAAACTGAGCATGTTTACTCTGGCATGTTGATTTGAGAATTGACATCAGAATATTTATGACCAGATGAAGACAGAACATTTGAATAAAATCTTTTTAAACCAACTTTTAATGAATTCTGAATACAGACAGATGGAAATTTCTGCTGCTGTTATATAGTTCACTGACAAACCCCAGATTTGATGCATGTCTGCAGAAGAGTTGTTTGACAAAGTCACATCCTCCTCAAAAGCATAAATAAAACCCTAAGGTAGTGAGACAAACTTCCTTTCAGAAATAAAATCTTTACATTCCATAATGGTTCCACAGAGCAATTGCTTGCATTTTCTTTATGGTACTAATTATTGCTCACTAGGTTTTGTTTTGTTTTTTAAACCAACTGTCCAACACGACTCAGGGTTACTGTAATGCAAATCTTTTTCTGGAAGAAAGAAAAATGAATTACAGATACTTGGCTGACACTTTTTTGCACTGGAATTGTTAAGATATATCTCACAAAGACAAGAGTGATTTCCTTCATTGCCAATAATAAATCTGCTAAATAAAAATTTACTGGGATTTGGATGTCAGAATGTGTTTTATAGCTGGATAGCCATTGATCTTGCAGATGCCATTTATGTTGTTGTTTTTCTTTTTTCCAAGCAGTTGGTTTGTCCTTTGAGATCAGCTCTCAAGGACTCTCCAGATATTTACTGTTCAGTGTGAGTGCTTTGCAAACACTGAGTACTGTGTTGGTAACTTGCTACTCTGCATACTCTCTCTGTAATTAGAGTAGAATAGAGTGTTCTCAAATTTTATGGGACATTTAATATGAAATTTGCATTAGACTTTTAGGAAGTTTTAGGAAGGAAAATATGCTGATGAATTTATTTTCTTTCTGTGAGACGCAGTATGCTTCTTCCTCCTTCTCCCTTCTTTCCCCCATCAGTGATACAAAAATAGCCTGATTTAGGAGCTGCAGTTGCTTTGTCTAATAGTAAATTAGCATCATCAAAACAATTTTCCTTGTGATGCTAGTTTTTCAGGCTTGACCCATATAATTGTTCAGTGCTATCTGTGGTCTTAATTTTCAGTGTGCGTAACTTGGGAGTTAAGGTGTCAGCTATTTTTATGCCTACACTTGAGATAAAACCTTTGGTCTTTGAAGACTAAATAGGCAAGTATATGTCGTCCTGTCTGTAAAATTAATTTACCTATTTGCTAGAATGTTGCTTTGTAAAATGTTTTCTCAAACTCCCAAGCTCTCCCCAGAAAAATGGTTTTGTACTCTGTTTCTTCAGTTCAGTAAGACTCTTGAGATCCATCAGTTTGTACATTTTGAGGCTAGAAAGACAGTATGATCATGTATACCTGTTGGTATTTGATACAGCAGTGTTAGTGGTATACCTGACAACAGTCCTGGATGATTGGTGTTAGGTTTTTTTTCCAGAACTGATATGAAGATACTGCAGTTTGCTGTGGCCTTTCCATCAGTGAGGTGCAGAGACTTTGTAACTCAGTATAAAAAAATTCAAAAATGTTTTGGACTTCATAATACACAAAAATAGTGTTAATGAAAAGAAAGGGGAAACTTCAATGATCTATGATGACGTACTCCATTTGATCTATCAACCATTGAAGAAGGTAGCTTCCTACTGAATTCCATGTATTCTGGGCAAAATGTTGGGTTTTTTTGGCTTTTATGCTCATACTAAATGACTCCATAATTGTTCTCTAATTTAACTTTGATTAAAAAACACTGATGTTTTAATGACAGCTGATTTTTAATTGAAGGAAAACAGCATTAAATAATGTAATTATCTTTTAA